GATGGAGGATGTGATCGGTTTGCTCTAATCCACTTTTTATGTTCCTTTTAGAGTCGTAAACTATGTGAGACCACCAGGTGTCAGCTCAAATGGGACCCCGCTATAATCCCTTTGCCTGCTGCAATGGAGGGGTGGAGAATGATAAGAAAATCTGGCCAAAGCTAACATGCAGTAGCATTTTAACTACTTTATGAACTCTGTCGTGTCTGACGGCGAGGCAATGAGCAATCTTAGAAGCTCCGAGGCTTATCAGTTCATACATGGTAATAAGGTTGGTCGTGTTTCGTTGAGAGGCGGGACAAAATCGTAACTACCTAAAATCAGACGTAGAGCCGGGTCAGAGCCTTAAATCCATCATCACCAAGCTCGGGCTTTAGCTTCTACATCAGGTTAAACAAAAACAGCAGGTTTATCATTCTTGTAGCCACACATTTTACTTGTTACTAGAACCGCAAACAGCGCAACATTTTCTCAAGCCGCGGGAGTACATTTTTCGTGGACCAATCCTTTATAAAATCCACTTGACAAGCTCAAATAAACAGCTACAAGAAGCAAACCTCACCATGTGAGCCAATGACTAAGTGCTACCCCCGGTAATTCATCAGAGTTGCTCCTGGCGGTCCGGAGGAAGGGAGGCCCAAGTGGTGAGTCACCGGATGTCGAGACCACAAGAACCCAAAGAGTTGTAGCCCCCTTTGAATTCAGCTTCACCGGCAATGAGATGCAACCAGGGCCTGCAGGTTAGATGTCTGAGGTGTGTAGTACAGTAGCTCTTAAAAGAGCTGTTGTGTCTGTAATCACTCACAGCATCGCAGAGAGGCTTTTTGACTTGATGTCAAAAGAGAAGATGGTTTCAAAATCCTTTATCCCTGATTTGGCCGAATCGAGAGTCAGCTGGAAACTGAATTAATCGGGAAGAAATTCCCGTTTTATTAATCCTCCCACTGTCTTTAAGGGTGACCCCGCGAGGAAAGTTGACCATTGAGCAGGATTGATGGCTTATCCCTTGAGGTCCACATGGCAGGGGTGAGGTGGTGCCCACTCCTCACCCCTGCCACGTGGACCCAAGGGATAAGCCATCAATCCTGCTCAATGGTCAACTTTCCTCGTGGGGTCACTCCCACTTGGACAGTGGGAGGGTTAAAACTAGGGCCGGGACTTTAACTCGTTAATTATGATTAATTAATTAGAAAAATATGACGCGTTAAAAAAATTAACGCATTTAATCACAGCTTGCATTTCCAGCAAGGCGGAACCTTTGTCATTGCACGATTTCCTCGTAGACCGAATATCACTGACGCACACAACAATGCACAGTTTTAATGGCTAATAAAACGGAATAAAAACAGAAAGAAGTTGCCTTGCTTGGACTGATGCAGGATTTAGGAAACCCGTCCGCCTCTTTTCTTAACTTGGAAAAAAAAACTTCCAGACAACAACGGAGTCCGTGTCGCGGACATTTTTCAGAGATCGACACTGCTGCGGCTGCCCGGTGGCACCGGAAACTTTACAGAAGTTGCGGTAAGCTATATTTTTAACATTTACGTAACACCTTTGCAGCACCAGACAGAATAATTCTTTGCCCCAACAGTAGTTTATGAAAGCAGTCAGAAAAACGAGAGGCACCTGGCTGCCGCTGGGAGAACGCTCCGTGTTCTCACTACTCTGTAAACAATCACAAGCAACGTGTCTTAAAGTTGAAAACAGAAGTTTAAGTTAAAACAGAAACACTCTAAAAATGCGATTAATTTAGATTAATTAATTACAAAGCCTCTAATTAATTAGATTACATTTTTTTATCGAGTCACGGCCCTAGTTAAAACACATTGCTTATAAATTTGGCAAACCAGGATTTTACACATTTGGGGCAGCAGTAGCTCAGGTGGTAGAGCGGGTTGACTCATGATCGGAGGGTCATGGGTTCGATTCCAGCTCCCACCAGGGGTATCCTGCTGTTGTGTCCTTGGGCAAGAAACTTCACCCAACTTGCCTGTGTTAGTGGTGGTCAGAGGGGCCGACGGCGCCAAATGGCAGCCTCGCCTCTGTCAGACCTCCCCAGGGCGGCTGTGGCTACAAGTAGCTTACCATCACTAGCAGTGTGTGAATGTGAGAGTGTGTGAAAGCGTCTTTGGGGATTCTAGAAAAGCGCTATATAAGTTCAATGCATTATTATTATTATTATAAGGCTTTATCAAAACATACCTCAGAAGTCCCTCCTTCCGTCAGATCCTCAGAGAGGTTAACTCTTTGTGTGAATGTTTTAAAACACTTATGTGAAGTGAGTGTTACTTATTATAGTGTGTAAGAGTATAGTTATTGATTAAAGCACAGATTAGTCAAACATTTGATTTAAACATCTTGTTCATTCAACACATTTGATTATTTCAACTTATAAGTTGTAAAGTCACGTAAGAACTTTGAAGTGGGTAAAATTTATTCAGAGTGAGGATGCAGCCGTCTTGCACGAGATGTTATGGCTTCTTAGCAGTAACAAGAACCGGGGCAGAACTTTGTTTTGGATTTGGAGGCCAGACAGATGGTCTTGTCGCGTCTGCAAACGAAAGGTTAACCTCTGGTGAATTTGTTGGTGAATACGACCACTGGTATGTTACAGTATGTCATCATTTCTGAGCTACTCTAGCAGCTCTGCGGCCTCATAGCTGTTCCCACAACAAGCTCTTCTGCTGAAGTCCACCACCATCACTTATCTTTGCCAAATTGATAATTGGGTTGTTGGGCGGCCCGTAAACCAATCAGAAAGCTCCTGTACCTCCTTCCTATAGACTCCCTATTGTTGGAGGTTTACTAGATGTTTGTGTTCATTCACAAAGCCCCCCTCATGATCAACGCTCCTTAAATCATCCAAACAACAAACTTCACCTGAATCCCTCTATCCGACAAAATGCGTTTCATGATCGTCCTGTTTAAATGTTTGCCTCTAGATGCAATTTGGTCAAATTCTAGAGAACCACTTATTTTCCTTTCGGGAAAGAATAGCTCTAATGAGTAAAGACACGGTTCCTTTTATGGCAACCCCAGAGTCCATCCCCCTTCAAGAATAAAAAGAATCCATCCTTTTTTAAATCTAATTATTGCTATTCCTCTGCAGAACAAATGTAAAACATCAAAGCAGCAAAATACTTCCGTAACTTCAGAGCTGAATCTTCAACACGTCAAAACAAATACGCAAAGACTCTCCGCAGCTTTTTACTGGAAACTATTTTTGTGGTTCCGTGGTAGATTACTCTGGCTTTGTGCATTAAATAGCAACACCTCGGCACGTTTTGTGATCTCATATTCCGACGATGAACAAAATCTTTTAAAACTTTGTAATGAAATTAAGGCTAAGCTTTGCAGAATAATCTCTGTGCTATTCTCCGAGTGTAGCCGTGTGTAAAAAATGATCCTGAAATGGCTTCCTTATTTCCTGGCTCACAGACAATCATGCAATTAGAGAAGAAGTGTTTAGGAGTGATAAAAAAAAGATTATTAAACAACGTTTCAAAAGGAACGCTGCATTCTTCTGAACTCCTTAATGTAAGACTTAGGCTGAATAAAATGGAGATGGTTCGTGTCGAACTACAGTTGCACCATTTTAGCAAATCCACTTTGACTCAGTGGAAAAAAATCGGCTGCATCTAGAAACTCATTTGTGAAATTTGAATTTAAAGACTTTATAGGGTAAGTTTCAACTCAATGACTTTGAAAGAACGTAAGGATCTCTGCTTTAATAAAGATGAGCAGCTTTTTAGCAAAACACCCACAAGAACCAGCATCTTTTAGACACCTGTAGATCTAAAGTTAGAGTTGCTGGAATATGAGTGAAAATGCTCCTTTTGATTCCTTCTTTTCAGCATTTCTCTGTTTTGTGAAGCTACTCGTAGGCAACCTTCTCTGCAGGCAGTTATCATCCTGTTAAATTGCAAGCAGCACACTGTAATCTCTGCATTGCTGCACTGAGCCAGCCCCTCTCTACCTGATTCATCACTGTGTGTCGTTTTAATTGGATTTGGGTTCAACTTTCTTGGTGCCGCGGGATGCGCCAAAGCCTCAGCAGGTTTTCTGACCCCAAAGGAAAGTAAAAAATTTAAATAAACACTATTTAAGGACAAAATAAATGCTATCAATTTTAAATTCAGAAAACAGTTACTGTGATTGGGTCATTGGCTAGAATAAAATAAAAGTATGTTGTCAGTTCAGCAAAACCAGAAAATGAAGTGTAATAAAGATAAAAAATCTTCTTCTTTGATACGGCAGTAAACAGCTGTATCTGTAGTCACATGACCTGCTGGAGCTCCATCCAGGACATCAGTCCTAAATGTCTAAATGAAAGACTACTGGACGTCTCAACCAAGAAGCTTTCTCATTTCAATGTAAAAGGTGCAGCGAAAAGAGGAATTTTACTCATATTTTAATACATTTGCAGCTGTCTCTAGTAGGAATAAATACCTTAAGTCGTATTCTGAGGAGGAAAACTCTGGTGTGTCTGTTTCAGCACTGATAATTCATCCAGAGTAGAAAGTAGCTTCAGACAGCAGGATCTGGAGTCTTGTTCCCTGATATGTGGACATCTCGCCTCTGACTGGCTAACAGCAACATGACTCTACCACTGACTCTGTTTACTCTGTAACTCTGATGTTTTATCTCTACATATGACACAAGGCTGGAGGAGTTCTGCTGTGTGGAGGAGTTCCGCTGTGTGGAGGAGTTGCTAATGCTAACAATTAGCTTCTACTAGCCGAGACATTCACTGCCGTTTCCTGGACACTAAACCAACAACAGCCTTGCCCGAAAACTCCTTAGATACATTTAAAAAATGTAGTTTCATTGGATTTAGTGTTTGAGTTTAGTTACTAGTGACCTGCTAATAGGTTTCAAAATGTCATGTCATTTCTTCACCAAAGAACATGAATGGATGGCTGCTCCACTGGTGTCTAGTCACATGACACTGAGACGTGAAGTCATATTCCACTGGCTGAAGATGAAGACCCCCCACTCACCTAAACATGCCTCTTTGATCTCAGTCCTGTCCGTCCTCTGAATAATCTTCACCACAAATATCACTGCCAGCGGAGTTAGGAATGAAATGGCCTGTGAGGACAAAAGTACAGTAAGAGAAGGACATTTATATTTTTGATAGAGACGCAGAGCAGTTGTCCTCAGGGTCCACTTTGCAGGTTAATTATAAAAGACCTCTGCTTCATGATTTGACATGAAACATCAATTATTGTTTGAATGCTGTTAAGCATTCAAACCTCTTCTTCATGATTTGACATGAAACATCAATTATTGCTTGAATGCTGTTAAGCATTCAAAATATTGTTTTCCTGTTTTCTTCTTATTCTGCTTCCATACACTTTTTGAACCTCTTCATCTCCTTCAAATTTTGAGCTATTTCAACAATTTTATTTCAAAACGTTAAGCTCGTTAAGCTCTTTCCGGCTATTACCTTTGGCATTGATATATTTAAAATTGTTCGAGTTATTAAGCTTTTTCTGAAAAGATTTTCCCATTCAAATGAATGGGATTGGTCATTTTTCAGCATATTCCTATCACTTTTTTGACCTAAAACTCTACTGGCTTCCTTTTAACTTAGAGACTTCATTCAAAGTTTAACAAACTCACAAGACTTTACTGTTTAACATATTAAAGAGGCTTTTTGATATCTTTTACGGTTTTTCTAAAATCGCAGGTAGAAGTTGAGGTACGACTTGAAATTTTCAGACAAATTCACAAAAGTTATAATGGGGAAAGATAGGAGCAGTGACCCTCCCTTGCTCCATTTCCAGCGTTGTCCCGAGAGAACCGTAGGTCCGATTGAAATGAGACACACACTGGCTTACAGCTAACGAATATATCTTCGTTGTGAGCTATAAGTCATGACTGTACTCCAAACATTGTGGTCGTACGGTTCCTTTGTTTGAGAAAATTCAAATAAAAAAAATGTCTCACCACTCTAAACTGAAAAATCCGCACTCTAACTTTTGAACTTCACATCTTCTGTGAACAACTCTTTACTACCCCCAGACCGTTTGGACTACCAAAACAAATTATAACTCAAAAAGTAGCAATTTTTGTCAGCTTTTCAAAATGGGTTTCATTTTATCTGTAAGTGTTACCGTTCTTTCGCTACAAGCCTCAGAAGGAGGAGAGACCCAGATTTTCCCTCATTGAAACCCATGTTAAAGGAGCAGAGATGTTCTCTGATCGGCTTCAGACAGCTAAAAGTTTCTCGTCATAGCTTCTAGACAATTCATGGTAGGCACATAAAAATTGACACAGATGACCAACAAAGCCTTCTGCCGCTCACGCTTTTTGAATTTTTCATTTCGGTGCAGTACTTTTCGAATGGTGATGAGAAGTTTGACAGGTCCAATTTCACTTCTGAAGGACAGATTTAAACAGCTGCAGGCCTCCAACAGCCAGAGGGAAAGGAGGGAAAACAGTGCTGCTCTCTGACTGGTTGAGACTGTTCAACCATTTTCTGTCCAATCAGGATCCAGCACCCACACATATTACACATCAAATAGACCAGTTTGGTCTCAGGAATCTTGTATTCAATTTTAAATGCGTTATCTGTTACCATGGCAACACAGGGAACTACATATCACTTTAACCAAGTCTCATAGGAATGAATATTAAAAAGCTGAATATTGAACCAATAACAGACTCCTGTTATTGATCTTTTTGAACAGTTTGTACTTAAAACTAGAAATAAGTTCAATTAGATTGACCGTCAGAACGTGGGGAAGTGCCCCGCTCCCTCCCAGCTCCCTGATTGGTTGAGAGAGGTCAGTCATCTTCTGGCTAAATGGAATTACACACCCACGCATGTGAGGCATCAAATCGATCGGCTTGGCCTAAGGAATCCATCCATCTTCATATAAATCCATGCATGCTTCTATCCATCCATCCATCCATCCATCCATCCAATAAACCATCTAACATCCATCCAACAATCCTTCTGTTATTTCATTCATCCAACCATTCATCCATCCCATATCAAATCTGAACATATGTTAATCTATCAGTTTCAGATATCAGCAAATATTTCAAAATTCACAGTTCAGCCAATTGTAAAAATGTACCCGTTAAACTATTCTCATTCAAATGCCAGCTGTTTAACATTTCAAATTTCGAGTTTTTAATCAATGTTAAAAGATTAAAGTTTTCTGCTGTTTAGCATTTTTCATCCATTCTTCACCTATATTCTGAGCTTTATTACACTTGATGATTTTTGCTTCTAAATCTTTAAATACATTCAGCTCATTTTGACAGTTTAGCTTAGTTTCAGTTTCACTTCAGCTATTCAGCAGCTTCAGCAATCCGTTTCTGAATTTGGCTTATGCTGCTCATTTCACAGTTCAACTAAATATAAAAATTAAACTGTTAAACTAGTCCTACTCAAACAACAAGTGTTTAGACATTTTTGGAGTCCAGATTTTTAAATAATGTTCAGATTTCAGTTTTCTGCTGTTTAGGATTGTTTTCTCTGTTCTTCACTTTTTGTGCTTTATTTACATTTTGGTGCTTTTTGCTTCTAAATCTTTCAAAACATTCAGCTCATTTTTACAGTTTTGCTTAGTTTCAGCTTCAGCAATTAGTTTCTGAATTCAGCATATGATGCTAATTTCACAGTTCAGCTAAATGTAAAAATTAAACTGTTAAAATAGTCCTACTGAAATAACAGGTGTTTAGTCATTTTAGCTGTCCAATTTTTTTTTAAACAGTGTTCACAGATTTGAGTTTTCTGCTATTTACGATTCGTTTTCTTGATTCTTCACTTACTTTTTGTGCTTTTTTTGCATCTTGGTGCTTTTTGCTTTCACATCTTTCACTACATTCAGCTCATTTGACAGTTTAGCTTAGTTTCAGCTTCAGTTCAGCTGTTCAACAACTTAAGCAATCAGTTACCATATTTAGCATGAGCTGCTAATTTCACATTTCAGCTAAATGTAAAGATTAAACTGTTAAACTTGTCCAACTAAAACAACAGGTGTTTATAGACATTTTAGCTGTCCAGATTTTTATACAATGTTCACATATTTCAGTTTTTTGCTATTTAGGATGATTTTTCTCCATTCTTCACTTCTTTTTTTGTGCTTTATTTGCTTGTTGGTCCTTTTTGCTTCTACATCTTTCAATATATTTGGCTCATTTTGACAGTTTTGCTTAGTTTCAGCTTACTTCAGCTATTCAGCAGCTTCAGCTTACAGTTTCAGCTATACAGCATTCAAACAGCATTTGTGCATTAAATGCAAATTATTCTAGTTCTTACTAGATTTCCATTAAACAAACCAAGAGAACCTCTTCATTGTTTAGTTGAGCTCATGGAGTTTCCCCTCAACTTAGCAGGAAACTCGGGCTCCCTCAGCAAATGGGTGATTAATTAATGTGTGTGTGTGTGTGTGTGTGTGTGTGTGTGTGTGTGTGTGTGTGTGTGTGTGTGTGTGTGTGTGTGTGTCTCCACACGGACGTCCAGCAAGTTCAACGTAAGGTAAATCACACAATTCACCAATATAATGCAAGAAACCCTAGAGCTCCATATTCATACATGCTTCAATCAGCAGGTTCAAGTTCATATTTAAGGTCAAATTTACTCATATTGTTTACACTCTTGCAGTGGTCTCTAGGAGGAGTGAATGTTAGTCAATTTTATTTATAGTAAGTAAGTAAATTTTATTTATATAGCACTTGTCACAGACATAGAATCACAAAGGCCTGTACATAGATCAAAACAAAATAAAACATCAAGTCATCAAATCATAATGATCTAAAACAGAAATAGATTAACATCAGAAACATTTCTCATCAAATGATAAGAAATATTACAAATTTGAGTTAAAAATAAGAAAATAAAAGATTTAGGTAAAGCAGCTTTAAATAAAAGGGTCTTTGGCTGATTTAAAAAAAAAGTGTCCAGACTGTCAATGCTACGTAAGGATAAAAGATCATTCCAAAGTCGGGGTGCAACAGTCTGGAAGGAACAATCACCCCGACTTTTACAGCTCTTTGGAACTCGAGGGCTTGAACTGGAGCATAAGCTTTAAAATTTCAGTGATATAGGGAGGAGCTCCTCTTAGCTTGAGCATGTAGAGCCCTGAACGTTATAGTCAGGATTCTAAAATTTACTCTAAAGTTAATGGGTAACCAGTGCAGAGACATCAGCCGGGACCTCAGGCCGGCTGGGTGACGGTGTCATGAACTCCTCCTGCTAACTACACTTCCCAGCATTCCCGCCACCACTTCCCAGCATTCCCGCCACCAACTTGGCTTGCCGACGTCATCACGCTGACACTATTTATGGAAACACCGCCGCTCATTCATCACTCAGTCATCGTTCCTACCAGACATTGAATCGAGTTCTCAGGCTTACCAGCCCTCAACCCAGGGGAAGGATCTTCCCACGCTGTCTACTGCTAGTAAGTCAGCTTCCTTATCCATCCGGAACTGCTGCTCAGTCTCGGCTCTCTCCGAGCGCTGCGTCGCCGTTCCTAGAATAAAGCTGCGTGCTCTGTCTAACCCAACGCTAGCCACTCCGCGTCTGGGTCACACAGTTAAGCCACAATCTCCGCTACGCTTCAGCTCAGCCGCTAAAACCTAACAGACGGTATGCAGGACGAATAGAACCCAGCCCATGGGCCACCACCAACCCGTCCACGTTTCTAACAGATTTCCCCCGCTCAGTGACGCACCCACTGACAAGCTGACTCTGATCATTAGCAGCTCCATAGTCAGAAACGTGGCATTAGAGGCTCCAGCAACCATAGTTAAATGCTTACCTGGGGCCAGAGCGAGCGACATTAAATCTTACCTAAAACTGCTGGCTAAGGATAAGCGTAAATACAGTAAGATTGTTATTCACGCTGGCGGTAACGACACCCGGTTGTGCCAATCGGAGGTCACTAAAATTAATGTTGCTTCGGTGTGTAAGTTTGCCAAAACAATGTCGGACTCCATAATTTTCTCTGGCCCCCTGTCTGATTGGACCAGTGACGACATGTTTAGCCACATGCTGTCCTTCAACCGCTGGTTGGCTAGGTGGTGTCCTGAAAACAACGTGGGCCACATTGATAATTGGAAAACTTTTT